GGAGAGGGGCTTCAGAAGAAACCAGCCCTGCTGACACCTTGATCCTGGACTTCTAGCCTCCAGAACTATGAGAAAATAAGTTTCTATTGAAGCCACTGTCTGTGCCTGTCATTGCCGGAAGCTAGCGCATCTTTGTACTGACGTGTGTGTGCGCTTCCTCCCGCCTGGCTGTGCATCCCATGGTTAGACTAAGAACTTTGTTTAATTCACGTCACCGCAGTGCCCGGATCATAGCAGGTGTAACAGTAAAGATGCTATTAAATCATTTGCTTATTGCTCCAGTATTTAATATTTTAGAGTTTTTTTCCTGTGATACACAAAGATCCAGAGTTCTTCATTTGAGGGCTGCAGACTCCAGCACACAGGACGATATAAGAGATAATAATATTTCAAGTTAGAACCAGAAGGCTTTTGGAAAACATATTTTAGCAGTGGAAAAATGACCCTCACTTGATTAGAGGGATCTTTGGGAAAAAGAGGCTTTTTTTTTTTTAACAGAGTAGTTCTTCGAGTAAGGAGATTTATCCATTATTTCACCTTCATTTCAAGGCTCTGCCAAAATCTGGCTAATCTGTGAAAACTGCCTTCCACAAGGCCCAGGTTTTCACTTTGTCATCTGCTGTACTGTAAATGGTAGGCTGGCATGTAGTTGTGTTCAATATTTATTAAATAAATGAAAATTGTTTCAAATCATGCTTTGCTCCTTCTTAGAAATCTTTGAATTGCGTTTAACGTTCTCTTATACTTTGCCAAATAAAGTAAATTGTTTTGCCCATCTTTTCTGCCTTAGGATTGCATCAATTGTCTTGAATCAGGTCTCCGCTTTCAGACATTTTTTGACTTTAGACGTACAGCCTAGCTCAATGGCACCGGCTCCCCCTTGTGTCAGGAACATGACACTACACCCACTGAATGCCAGCTGCCAAGTCCAGCCTGACGCCGGTCAAACATTTTAAGTGATCCAGATGCTGTATGTAAATCGAGTGGTGACGTCACTGTTGTGGAGCCTTATTATGACTCCTTTGTTCTAAAATGACTATGCCTCCGTGTTTACTACTGTCTACTCTCTATAGTGCAAGTACAGAAACAAATTCTTGGCATTTCGTATTTAGGGTTAGTTCGTAGTTCTTACCAAAAATTAATGGCCTGACCTTTTTCTGGCTCTGTTTTTTCTTGCCCTACCCTTTTTTTTCCTGAGCTCACCTTAGGTTTCCTCCGGAATGGCCAGGTTCCCAGCTCCCTTGTCCTTGGCGTGAGAAGCCCAGTGAGAGGACCTGCTGGGCCGTTCGGTCCTCCGAGTGCCCCGGCCCTGTACGTCAGCTCAGGGGCGAACAGGAGGAGCTCTGTGGTTTTGTTCCCGTCATACTTTCCCTTTTCTCTCCACTCAGGGACTCTATTCAGGAACTTGGGCGGCCTCTTGAAATACATGCACCTTATTCCATCACCTTCTGAAGAAAGAACCCATTTGAGAAGAAGGGGCTTTCGTACTTAAACATCAGCCCTCTTCTTCTGCCTCTGCCCTCGCATTGTCCTCCTCCCAGTCACCCTCTGCGTGGCCTCTACTGGGCAGCGCAGGCAGCCAGTCGCCACGGAGAGGCACCTGCCTGGCAAGCCGCCTTCTTGGGCCAGAGGGCACTCCGGCCACCCTTCCGGGGACTGCTACTCACCTGCAGAGAGCCCGCGCCCAGCGCTCAGTGAGCGTCAGTCACGAAACCCGGCCGTCGCCCCGCAGTGGCGGGAACGGCTCTCAGCGCTGCCATCCGCGGCGCCCGTCGGGGCGGAAAGGCTTCGTCGTCCACGCTCTTCTTACTTCCTTCGAGGAGCGGTAGGCGGCGCCCGGCCTCACCTCACCTTGCGCCTCGTGATGTTTTACGCCTTTCCAGTGTTGCCAGGTTTTCAGTTTTAAAGTGCTGAGTAAAATATGTTGTAACTACATTTTACCATGAAACTGAAGGTTAAGATATCCTGAATGATCACCTTTTCAAACCAAAATGATAAAAATAGTGTAACACAAAAGAGCAAATTGTTTTATAAATAGTTTAAATGAGGCCGGGTTGCTGTAATTTTTATTGCTTTAGTTTTAATTGCTGCGGATGAAATGTGCTTATCTTGTTTTTTAAATAAAAACTTTTTAAAAAACTTCAAACTTACAAATAGTGGTGTACCGAACCGTTACGTACTTTCACCTAGATTCACCGATTATTAACATTTGCCACATATGTTTTTGCTTCCATGTGCTCACTCTGTATATATTTATGCATTATTATGATTTTCATTTTGCTGGATTATTTGAGAGTCAGTTGTAGATATCGTGACCTTTTCCCTGAAATAGTCCAAAGTGTATCTTCTGAGAACAATAATGTTCTTTTACATAAGCCACAGGTTTTTTTTTTTGCGTGCGCGCGCGTGTGTATTTAAAAATCATCGTAGAATCAGAGCACTGGGGGAGAACTTTGGGAGGTCCTTTGGCTCATTCTCCTGCTTCTGGCAGGTAAAATCTTAGACAGCACAAAATTGATATATTCCCAGCGTGATAAACACAGATTCCTACAGGGACCAGGCCTGTAATCTAAATGTGCGAATCATAAGTCTAGAACATTCTCATGGCATGTATGTATGCACCACCTGATCAGATAAACAAACCAACACTGTGTTCAACAAAACCTCATATGAGGGCCACATGTGTCCCTTGGTCATTGGTTTGTGACCCCCTGGAACTTTCTTCAGCGCTCCCGTGGGGTGGAATCGCTGTAGCTTTCTTTAGAAGCCCCTCGTTATGGTCAAGAAGTTCTCCTTTAAGGCTAAATGCTCCGCCGTGGTTTATGTGAGTCTGCAGCGTGCCGTGGTTGAGTACCGGTTCCGGCCTGCGTGCGTTCGAATCCCATTTCTACCATTTACTAGGATCTTGGGGAAATTACCTAACTTTTTTATGATTCAATTTTCTTCATGTGTGAAATAATAGTATCTACCACACAGCTATTGTGAGGAGTAAATGGAAATGAATATTTAAAGCATTTTAAAACACAGCCTGGCAGACATAATAAAAACCTTGGTATCACTGTATTAATATTAACCTGGCCACTTGGAGATATTTTTCTTCACATCCAGACAGATCATGATTGCGGTATAAGGGATCTGAGATGTGAGGACTATTCATTCTAGAAGTCTTAGAGGAGATGTCCCTTCCGAAACCAGAAAGCTAGTTAATCTACTTTTGTCACTGTCAGAGACTTATTTCTATTCTCATCCCGATCTTCTAATTATTTCTCTGTCAGACTTCTCCACAGCTCCCGAGATTTCCCTTGTCTCGAGAAAGTTGTTGCTTAATATATCGGCTATCAGTAAATCTTGGCAAGTTATTTAACGATTTTGGGATTTAGTTTCCTCATCTGTAAATGGAGATAATAGAAGCGCCCCTCTCCTGGGGTGGTTGTGAGGACTAAATGAGTTGCTGTATGTACTGTGCCAGAACAGTGCCTGGGCAGCTGACGCGGGATGGGGCGAACCCCCGAGTGGGGACTCAAGTCCTGCTGCTGAGAGAGAACGGGCGAGGGTCCTTGACTGCGCGCAGGAAAGGATTCAAGTGCACGCCTGAGTGAGAGACAGACGTTTATTAGAGAAGGGATAATACTGCACAGACTGACCGTGATCTTTCCTCAGAGGCAGAGAATGAGAGAGGCAGAGAGAGAGACCCCGAGTGTTTGGGGAATTCAGTTTATGTGTCATTCTTAGTTTCTGTGAATTACAGTTTAAAGACTTTGTTTACCTGTTTTCCTTTGATGGTTTGGGTATGCGGGATGAAAGGTTTGGGTATGCAGCGTGAAGGGTATGCTAGCAATGTCAGCCTTTGTTCTATAGGTTCCCCGCCGTTTGGCCTTAGGGAATGATGGTTGGGTTTGTTTTGTGTAGGGTGGGACTTACAGACTCGGTTTTCCTGTTAGTCTGGCTAAATGGTTTGTTAGCAATAAAAAAATCCTTTGTTCTGGCCGCACGTTGCGGGCTCCGGATACAGCTCGGTCTAACATCCAGTTCTCTTGCCTACATCATACCTGGCAGCCATTAGTTAGGATGTGTGTTCTCTCTCAGTAGTCATAGCCCTCAGTTGTGTATTCTCTACTTGTGATCCAAGTGTTCTTGCCACCAGCACTCTTTGGGGGGAGGGGAGTTCTCGTCCTCTTTCCTCTGCAAGTCCTGTTATTAAGATCGCCAGTGGTCCTTGTGTCCAAATCTAAGATACTTCTTATCTCTTAGTCTTCTGTACTGTTTTTAACAGTAGAGATATCTTGCAACCCGGGTCACAGGGCAGGGGACAGTTAAGGGAGTTATGGAGGAAGAGAGGGGGCTGGAGATAGGGGAAGGAAGAAGGGGGTGAGAGAGACTCGGACTGATTGATTGGTAGAGAACTAGTTAGTGATGGCAGGATTTGGAGCGGGGTTAGGCATGGAGCGGTTGAGTAGGAATGGAATTGGCGGTTATACATAATTTGGAAGAAGTATGGTGATAGCAAAAGGGGGCTGAGATGGAGAATGGCTGGAGGTGCTAAGGCACCTCTTGGAAATTTTTTCTGACACTTCAGGCCATGCTTTTAAGTACTCTGCCTTAAATGTAAACTTTGCCATAGACCCCTGGGTAGGCGTTATCAATCCCATTTTACAGATGCAGAAGCCGAGGTTCAAAGGAGTTAAACACTTAAAGTTAGTTAGAAGTGGCTGACATGTCTTTTTCTTACTCTGCCCTCCTTTCTTTTCTTTTTCTAAACTTTTCTATTTGGGCCCACGCAGGGCTCGCGTTTGCTGGTCAATGCAAATGTTTCTTTCTGTTCTCTTTGCTTCCCTGGTCTGCCTTTCGTTTCCCCAGAAAAGATCTTTGATCCTCACAAGACAATATTTATCGAATGACTTCGTTTGCTATGCGGCGTCTGCACTGAAATAATTTAGAGAAACGTAGCACTTGCCTTTTCAGAGTTTATATTCTAAAACTATTAATTGCTTTTCCCCCAGAGAGATCGGCACAATCGTCAGGTCATTAGGATGCTGCCCTAATGAAGGAGAGCTACACGATCTGATTGCAGAGGTAAGTAGGACCTAGAAGGTTCCGTTCAGCAGACTCGCTGCGACTCCAGCTCCTTGGAATAAAAAAACAACAAAATCCTTAAAGTAAAAATGCCCTAACCTACTGAAGAAGCTCAGTGAAAACATTAGGATAGCTATGCGAATTATCCAACCAGCAGGATCTGAAAGAATATCAGATCTTAAGGAAATAGCCATGACCAAGCAATGCAGTGGATCATGTGAGACCCCACTTTGATATTATACTCTCTAAAATTAGTTGAAGAAAGGCCAGTAGGCGTAGGAGACTAATTCTGTGCAG